TTTAGTCGATGTGTCTGAGGCGACTGCTGCACATTCTGCCATAATTTTTTGATGAAGGACCTCTAGCCTAACCTGATTTCTTGTACTACACAACATCCCTCAGAGTCCTCCAAATCCATTTTGGTTCACTGTCATGTGTTACATATATGCGAGAGTACGAACATGTTAAGGAAATATCATACTACATATTATAAAAGATAATTCAACTTAGAAACCAATATATAGATATCATCTATTAAAGTTTCTATGTATTTTTCTGACAGATCCTGTATGTGAAGTTGTACTTTTCATTAGTTTCCACCTATTAATTAACTTAGGGGTATTTATTGTACGGAATATCTATGAAACTGAACTGATAAATTTTCATATCTGTTCATTTGTTTGCTTTTCATATATTTTTTAATAGTTTTATTTTTTATGTTGCTTTACATGACGTCAATTTAAACATAAGAAAGCAGAGAACAAAAAAAATTCACACTGAAACTAAATTTAAAATTAGTCTGAAGATTACTGATGTAAAATAAATAGTGTCTAATTTATCAAAATCACATAAGAGGGCAAATAAATAATTAGCATATTCAGATATTTATTATAAGCAAAAATTTTATAGTAAAAATGCAATTAAACAATTACTAGTCAACCAAATGCTCTCATAACAATCCTTTAATAGAACAATGTCGCCATTTTTCGTATACATTCTTTGTGTTGTATTTCAAGTTTCAACATTTTTTATGAACAAATTGTGATATTTTTTTGCCTTAATTTTAAAATATGCTCTTTGGAATTTATCAACAATGGAAAAAACTACAGTGGAAACTCTACAGGAATACAAAATTTCCAAAAAAATTTCTAAAAGAAAGAAAAAGGAAATGCATTTGGTAGATAGCCGATGCTGCTGAAGTTTGTGTAATGCCGAGTCTCTGAAATTATTTAATTTTTTTTTCAAGCAAAAACAAACCGCTTGGGGAAAAGAATAGGGCAAAACCAATTACAGAAAGATTTGGAGATGAACGTGCTTTATTTCCTTATTTAATAATTAAAATTTATATTTCAAATTCTAAAGTATGTTTTCTTTTCATAATTTGATAATGTTAGCCAACTTATGATAGATATCAATAATTTGGGTATCTATTTAAGAAAAGTTGTGAAAACCATCAACTTGCACCCAATGAATAATTTTTACATTTTCATGTGTTAAATCCAAATTGAGCTAAGGTGGTTGTGTTAATACTGTAAGTATCATTAATTTTACAGGCAATACACTGTATTCTTTTATATACTGTAATATTTAGTTTGTGCTGAAATTATGTAGTGGCAATAATTTTACTTAAGAGAGAAATTTTTCAATATTACAAGTTTACATTTTGGTTAATTTTTTTATGTGATAAAAAGCAGCATGTTAAAAGTTGGAGTTTCTTAAATTTTGTAATAGTACTAAGTATTATATTTTAAATTACTCAATGACTAATCCAGAAATAAATAATTTAATTCTGTATACTCGAAGAAAATCATTTCTGACTGGCATAAAAATCAGAATTTTGAAACAGTAGTAGAAAATCATTAAAAATACTTAGTTTTTAAAACTCGAATGCAATAAAAACAGGTTAGCATGAAATGTCTGAATAAAAGATAACTTGTTATCATTATGTATATGTTACCGTGAAAGACCGAAAATTGGAGAATGTCAACATTCACCAAATGCGTTGGTGAAAGATCGAATATTGCACTACATTCTTGTACTTTCAGACCCTCACCGGTGTATGTCGACAATCACAGATATGCTCTGGTGTAGGTCAAAAAGAGAGGAGTATATGTACATGCTGTCATTGCAAAAGAAAGTGTTCCAAAATAATGCAGTTGTAAAAGCAAGGACCTCTTGTGCAATTCAAAGGGTAATAATAGTTTATGTTGTTGCAATAAATAAGATTGGAATCACATAATTTATAAGTTTTTAACTTCTATTATTTTTCCTTTCTCATTTTGAACGTACTGTGTGTTTTAAGTTCTTATTTTAAGTCTCAAGTGCGTTTTTTCGAGACTGAATTACGGAAGAAAATATAATATTCTTATATGTTCAACATTCACCATTGGCACATGGTGAATGTCGACATTTACCGGTGTAAGTCAGGAATAAGAGTATTTGCAAAATATTTCGGACATACACCAAGCGACTATGTTGACATTCACCGGTGAATGTCGACATTCTCCAGATTTTGGTGTTTCACCGTAACACATATACAGTCATTCTTATGTAAAATAAATGTTACACGATTTCTGTGTAGTAAATAAATAAGTTTTAATAAATATGTTATAGATGTCAATATGTTTGTTTTTTGTAACATATACTTTGAACATTTTAATTAAATAATTTTTCAATAATCACATCAATAATGTGTGCATATATTTTACTTATGATGAAGAGAAATTAACATTTAAAAAAGGAATTATAGACTGAAAGTATTTTGTAAAAGAAGATATTGGAAAAGGAAATTATTGCAATTCATAGAACTTGTAAATGAATAAATGTAATAATTAGTATCATATTGTTCTTATTTATTAAGAATGGATATTAAATTATTGATAATAGAATGGACTTCTAAATGTGAAGCACTTATGCGAACAATAATACTAATTCATAACATTCTGATCTTGATTTCAGTACTTAATGTAAAGCATTATTGACAGCTTAGTGGAACTCATATTAAATAGTTACAGTGCAATCTTAAGTCCAATGTATTTATTACAAGATAATGAAATTATAGTCTGGATTTTAATTCAAAACTCTTTTCACAATCTTTAAAAGCCCAATTTTAACTGGTACTTTTCTGTTATCGGGACAGGATTCAGACATGTAATGTATGTATCCATGAGTGGTTTGGGTTTCATTTTAGTTTAGTATGGCAAAGTACACTAGGTCTATCTGCCTGTGGGAAGGGATGCCTTTGTGGAGGACTTTCTAAAGGAAACTGGCTGGTATACACTTTACAAATGGAGGAAAACCACGAAAAACGCCCATGAAGCCAAAGAATTTGCCTGGATTCGAATTCAGTGTTCAAAGATTTTACCACTCTGCCACTGGTGGGCCTATGCACGTGTGTATAAGTGTGTGTGCATACACACACGTAACATGAATACATCCATCCATCCATACAAAATCTGGTTCCGAAAATAAAATAGTACCTTTTAACCATATATCTTACAGTTTTAATTAATTTTATGTACTGTCATCAATAATACATCTTATTAGATACATCAATGCATCTTATTATCATTAATTTCTTACTAACAATTCAATTTCAATTGCCATGAGTTAATGCATGACTCGTACATATATAATATATAAGTTGTTCAATATCAAGATCACAATATAAGTTACATAGCATATTTACAATAATTATTTATTACTCATACATGTAATGTATAAAATCAGGCAATAAATTGTAAAAAAATACTTTTAATGAAATTGGAAATAAATGAAAATATAATAATTTGCATGTCATTACAATTTTTAAATGCACAAACTTCACAGTTAAAAATACATACTAATGTAAGAAAATCAATATTAAATGCTTTTTCTCAAAAGAAAAAAAATTTTGCCTGTTCAAGACATATTTTATCAAGTCCAACCATCAGTGGAAACCCAGGTAATCAGTCTTTAATATGACAAAATGTAAAATTTGAAATACAACTTTAAGTTATTTTTTTTAATCCATTCAGTTTTGAACTTATAACTAGATGTAAAGAACTGTAAACACACATTCACACAATTCACTTGAAGGTATGTTTCCAGGAAATAAAAGTATACTTATACAATTATTGACTTAATTCAATTCAACATTACACCTTAGAACATGTAATGATACCTCATTGTTAGGCATTTTCGATAGTCTTGAAATAGCATAACTGGTAACATATCTTTCTAAATTCAGTTCTTGTTAAATTATGTTCAGCATTATTTAGCATTTGCAGTTTTATAACTAAATTAGATTTCAGTAGGTCTATTACACTAAGCACTTACAGTTATTCAATATTATTTTCTTTACATTTCAGAAAAACAATGAACTTCCTTTCTATGATTCCAAATATGATATATGCTTTACCAGAACCATAATTTGTCAGTTAATAGTGATTTAATCTTCATAGATAAGCATATCCAACAGTCTTGAAATATCAGAGCTGGTAGCATATCTTAAATATATTCAGTTCTTATTAAATAACATGTTCATCATTTAACTTCAGTAGTTTCACAGCTAAATTACATTCCAATATGTTCATTAGAGTGGACACACTTTTTCATCTTTTATACTCTTTACATTCTAATAATGAAATGAAGTTTATTTCTAAGAAAGCATATTGAATCCTGTAAAGCATATTGATTTCTTAATCAAAGCACAATTAATGTTTGTAAATATTCAGATAGATATATGTGAAATGTATTTTAAGGATTTCTTGACACACACTATGTCAATTCATTGCAATAGTTACTGGTGGCATTTTGATTCAAAATATTTACTGCATTAATTACTGACACAAAATAGCACTTGGATTCACTAACTTAACATTAACTTCACTTGGTTTAATTCCCGCAGGTACATTTTATATAGTAGATGATTTAAGTCATTATCACTTAAAAGTTTCTGATTATCAATATGCAGAATAATTTGTAAACCACACTTTACATGTATCTTCCAGCCATCAGTAACTTCTATCTGACTAGACCTAATTTTGTATTGGAACAGTAGAATAATCCTTAATATTCCGAAACAAACATTAAATCGATTTAATACAAATATATACGCATATATATACACTTTTATTCCGAAAAACTAAATGTACATTCAAAAAACGCACTTCGTAACTCTGAACAGTAGAATGTAAACAAACGTCAGAAATATGACGTCACTCATGTGGGCGGAGTTAATGAAACCCTCATCTGGACTGTCATTGGCCAAATTCAAGCCGTTGTCCTAGCAGTGTACATTTTGCTTATATGCCCCCCGGACACCTTGGCGCTGAGTGCTGTTCAAATACAGGAGAAGAAGAAGCTTCTAGTTAATCGACGCACTACAACTTCTTCTCGACTTGTGTCGTGTTTGTGAAAATGGCTGCTCTTCAGACAGGAGTTGTAAATGATGTTGATAAAAATAAATATCAATATTCTAAAGTTAGTTTATCATTGGAAAATTGTATTTTACCACCTGAGAAACTTTCTCCATCGCCATCCCAGCTGGATGGTCTTGAGCGTGAAGCAGAAATTGAGTTACGGATATTAGGATGTGAGCTGATACAAACTTCAGGGATTCTTCTCAGATTACCTCAGGTAACTACTACTACGAATATTATATAGAGTATTTGTATAAGTGTATGTAAATCATTTTGAAGAATATTGCATTCGAGTATTTTTAACAAATGTATAAATTATTGATGAGTATTTCGTGTTCCTAACCTTTAACGTGATTTACTCTTCCCTTTATTAGGCTTAATTGCACCTACCCATGTAACGACTTAAAACAAGTACTGAAATCTGTTGCAGAGAAAATAAATACTTGAAATCTTTCGTATTTAAAAAATTTAAAAGTAAAAAATATTTAATTCTGTAATTATTGTGTATAAAGTCTTATTTCGTAATAAGCACTGTTGATTAAAAATTGTGTACCATTGTGTTGATCAGATATATAAAATTCTGATAAAAATAATTTAACGGAATTGCTACTTTTCTGTTATCTAATCGGATGAAACGTTTCGTAAACTTTTTGGTCTTCGTTTAGAATTTATACATAACTATTGTTTAAGAAATTTCAATAAATAAAATAAGCGGGATGCATTCTGACCTTTTTGTAAAAAGTAATTTATTTAATTTCAGCATCTAAACAAGCATCATTTTGAATGTCTGGAATTGTACGAATTGTGCATAGAAATGAAGTCGTTTAACATCTCTTATTTTACCTATAATCTAATCTAGTTCCCCAAAGTAATTTTCTTAGGCTTGAAGTGCTTTAATAGCATAACTTAACAAATTTTGTAATATCTTTTTTCCTTACCTCTTGTAGTGTATTTTGAACGTAAGCGCAAACTAAAAGGGGTACAAGCATATAATTTGCTAAAGATTTTAATTCAGTTAATGACTAGAATTTTACTAAATTTTGTATATTCCAGTGCATTACCGTTTGATTAGAACTTTCCAGTAGCCAAGTGCAGTAAATTGTTAGTGATAATGAAATCTTAATTTAATGTTAAAAATGTGACACCATGAAAGAATTGTCGGAAATAAATTTATTCCATATATTGCTGATAGTGGTACAAATAAACAATCAAATTTACAAGACAAAAAGAAGTGAACATCGGAAGTCAGTAACTTTGTGTGTCCACCACGCTAAGTGATGAGAGCACCATGGCATTGAATCATACAGGTTCTGAACATAATGATGCGGAATGGCATTCCACATGGCTTCAACTAATGCCAAAGTTCAGTCTTAGTGTGTGGCCTACTAACTGTACTAGCGAATCGCCAACTAATGAAGTCCCAGACGCACAAGTCTGACACAAAACTTCATATGCGATATAACTTTACCAGCACTGCTAAAAATGAAAACTTCCCCAAACTGGAAGGCTTTGAAACTAAAACTGTAGGAAAGTGATCTTCAAAAGGGAAAACCGTGCAGATCACTTACTGGAGTATTTTTTATTTCGGCATGAAATGATGGCCGAGATTCATTACATGTATTGTAAATGCTTAACTGCTGTCTTGAGTAATTTTTTTAACAGTATAGTTTTTTGGAGGACAGATCCTTTTTAGAGCCATACAAATTTAATAATAAAGAATGAAATATTGTTATACATAAGTATTACTATGTATAATTCTTTTGCAATAATAGAATTAATCAGAAATCTAGTTCAATAAGAATATCAATATTTACTTTATTTTTTATCTTCTGCTAACTTCGATTTAACTAAGTATCAGATGTATACTAAATCTGATGAGGATTAACCAACTAATTTTTATATGTGTAATATTATCTTCAGTCCTGCTAACTTTATATGTGTTAAATATCATGTTTAACCAGCTAATTTTACTTCCATATGCTTAATATCTGATAACATAACTGTACACTGATAAAATCATGGCTGGTTGGCCATTTTGGTGAATAAAAAATGCATTACTGTTAACAAGTTCTTTGTGGTTTTAAATTCGAAAAATGTATTGAATGAGGGTTTGTTAGGAGTTTGGGAGGCGTGACATTTTAGAGAACTTCTAATTGTGCACTCATTCACTTTGAATATAGATGGTTGCCACACATAAAGGGGTTTCGCATTTGTTTATCGGCACTTTTATTTTTAAAATTTATTTGCATAGATCTTGTACTGAATATTGAAATATAGATTTCAATTTTTTCTCGTGTTTTATTACCTTGCTTGTTGTGGGGTGGGAATTGAAATATTTCTTGTATTGAAGTAATTGGTTCAATTTTGTTAATCAGTAACTCGCATAATATTCAGACATTCCAAATTTTTGTTGAGTAATGTTTTTAGTAATCTTGAGTCAGATGAGTAATGTTTTGTTAAAATCAGCGGGCATCTTATGTGTTGCCAAAGCCTCTGTATGCAGTGTGTGGATATGAACATTTAGGGCAACAGTTTGAATTCTTGCAATGAGTCCGTTATTATTTCCAACTGTACGTTTTGCTCCGTCTTATTCCAACAGATCTATTTCAATCAATTTTGTTCTGTTGCGTAAATTAATTCATAACATTGAAGATATTTTCTCCTGTTGTGTGACCTAATAAAGGCAGGCAAAATAAAAAGTCGTCATGAATTTCTCAATTTTTTTCGCATCTAATAAATGCCGTAAGATTTGCGATATCAGTTGAATCATCGATTTGCAGTGCATAATAAAGACTTTGAGAAATGTCAGATAACATCTGTTTGATATTATTAGACATATCAATAATTCGTTGATGAACTGTTTTATTTGAGAGAGAAACGTGGTCAAAAGTTTGTTTCGCTCTATGTTCTATCAGTACTACCATTATCTTGGCTGCAGGATTGATTAAAATTTCGCCAGCGTTTTCCGCTGCACTACCCTTTGAAGTCAAAAGTGACACGAAGTTTCTAGTATTTTTTGTTTGTCACATCCTGTCAAATTCCCCATTACTTTTCAACACTGATTTAAATCCTTAAGTTTATTTTCAAAACAACTATGGGTTTATCTTTGTACTGATTCTATCTCAAAATCGCACTTTTAAGTTGGATGGTTTCATAAGTGGAATAGGCTCATTTTCATCTCCAGTGCATGAAATTCAAATTTAGGATATTCTTGTACTTGCAAGTTTTCCTTGCTTTTTTCTTAACAGGTTCATTTAAAATTGAAATTGATTCGTCGTTAATTTCAGTATTTCGTGTTAGTTGATTGCTACTAGAATCATTATTTTCTTTCGGTGTAGTAGTTCAAGATTTTAACCAGTGATCCATAACCTATGTTAAGGATAAAAATTATATTTTATAAAAATAATTAAAATCAGTTGGACTTAACTAAAGCATATAACAGACATTTTCTGTAAGAAAAATCGCACAAAATCTTAAAATACACAGGTGCCTGAAGAAGCTACTAACTAATAACGAAGTAAGTTGTCTGTAAGGAAGTGTGGTATATTTCCGCCGAGTCACACCAAACCAGCTCCTGCCTCGCAAGACTTTCTTGACTTGCCTCGTGAGAACGTAGAATTCGGTGCAGTGCACCAAACTCTGGTGCAGTGTGTACCCCTGGGGGGTACACTACCACACTTTGGGAAACAATGGTGTAGATAATCGAGTAGAACTCATCTAAAAAGGATCAAATCTACCTCTAAAAAGCCGAAATGTCCAAAACTGTATTTATAATGTGCAAATAAGATATTTTTTGTCTTACTTTCGTCAAGTAATAATGAAAATAAATTAGTTATATAAACTTGCATAGTACTGGAACAATAAACAAGGAATTGTGCTGTAGGTACACTTAATTCTCATTTGAATTTTTTCGTATTTTGTAGGTAGCAATGGCTACAGGGCAGGTCCTGTTTCAGAGGTTTTACTATTCGAAGTCTTTTGTCCGTCATACAATGGAGGTAATAAATTTAGTTTATCTTCTGTGATATGTATTTTGTATTATTGTTTATTTTATTTTTCTATATTTACTAGATACTTTCCATTATTTTATCTTTCACTTATGTAAGTCATTTTATAATCTGTTATTTTATATTTACTCTGTACTTGCACCTTTACTTCTTTTTAAGCATTTACCAAAAACATAGTAATTAGTGATTAGTATTCTGAGTTATTAGGCTGATGTGTTCTAAGGGGTCAGAAACGAGAGGGCTGCTACCTGCCCTCTGAAACTTCAGTGCTGCAGTTCTTATAAATGAATGTTCATATATAATATACTAGCTTGTAAAGTAATACTGGCATGCATAAAAAGAATATTGTCTTGGTTAGCTTTGCGCTTTTGTTCTAGATTTGATGATTAATGGCAAAACTGCAGGAAGTTTTAATATTTTCTTCATTTGAAACATAAATATTGTATTTTTTTTGTATTGTGAGAGCTTTTACCTTCAAATAGAATGTTGCATGCATTTTCAGCAGAGAATCATGCAGTGGAAACTGTTAAAATGCATTAACACATTACCGACCATTAGCCTATTAATCGGCTTTTTATTGTCAACGCCTACCAACCAATAGCCTATTAATTGGCTTTTCATCACCAATGTCTACCGATCAATCGCCTATTAATCGGCTTTTTTAGGCACCGCCTGCCAACCGATAGCCTATTAATCGGCTTTTTTCGCCAACACCTATCGACCGATAGCCTATTAATCGCTTTTTTCTCGGGTCTACCTAAAAATAGCCTATCAGATGGTAGCCATGGCGATAAGCAGTTGCCATTTGCTATATCATCTGCATTTTATTATTAGTTATCGAGGTGCATCGCTCACTTGCGTTAAGTGCGTTGCTTCGTAAACTCCCACATTTTCACACTGTTTTGAGCGAAAAAAATGGTTCTGGAGAGTTTTATTTAGACGATTTATCGGATTGTTCTGACAGTTATTTAGAATATGAAGAATCTGTGGCTGAGCGACCAGTCGGACCTGCATATGCTGTTGAACCGCTAGCGGTCGGTAAAGTGTTAACATGATTTATGTAAAATCTCGTAATCATGGTAGTGGTATGATTAAATTGCCTTCTAGTTTTCTTTCAGAAATCAGTTATTCTTTACCTTTCTGTATTTTTGAGAAGAAATTCCAACATAGAGATCAAAATACGATTGGATCTTTCCTCATTAAAATTTTTTTATTAATGTCAAGATCTGTTTACCAGTTGATAACTGTAGCATTTTTAGGTGTGGGTAATATATAAGTTCTAGTATTTTTTTAATAGCTTGAGTAAATTATGAGTATATGTGTATTATGTTATTAAAGGAAAGATAACTAATTCTGCAGAGTTATAATATAAAGTTATAAATAATATGCTCTATTTATACACTCTTTTGCAAAAAAATCGAAGCACCAAGGGGTTGATCTTTAGATTATGGTAACTTGGCGAAAATCTGGCGACCAACTCTCCTATAGCAACCCTCTATTTTTTTTTCCCGCCGGTTTCTTTTCTTTTTATCTACTGAACACTTCTTCCAACAATCTACTAGCCGAATTACACTTATGCTAGAAATTTTATCTAACAAAACTGCTTAATCATGACAAATATTCATTGCAAAATTGGGAAAAAGTGCACAATACCATACTCCTTACGCGTTTTTCAAAATAACACATACACGTAAACCATGTATACGTCAACTTATTTTTACTTAAAAAAAATCCCAGAATTACACAAAAATGGCATTGTGCACACTCTTCACTATATCCATGTACACTGCTTTTTTCTCATAAATTAAAAAAATTTCACGAAAATACATGACAATTTTCTGAATCTTTAATCATATATGTTCTTTTTACCGGGTGGTAAAAAGAACATATATGAAATTACCTGATCGCGAAAAAGTATATACCCTTTCCAAATATGAACATTTTCACATATAAAATAAATAAAATATCCAAAAACTTTTACCTCTAAATCATCTATTATATTATAAACGTCACCAACGAATTCATACCGCAAGCATACAAATACTTAGTGTCAAATATTTAAATTATTTCCATGCACGTTTACTTCAACTAAAATGTATACCAAATTCCTACAAACATAAAATTCACAAAATAACTATCATTTAATTAAAATATCACTAGACCATGTACACGTCGACTTATTTTTACTTAAAAAAAAATCCCAGAATTGCACAAAAATGGCATTGCGCACACTCTTCACCATATCCATGTACACTCCTTTTTTCTCATAAATTAGAAAAATTTCACGAAAATGCATGACAATTTTCTGAATCTTTAAACCCGTTAAAAAGAACATATGTGAAATTACCTAATAACGAAAAAGTATATACCCTTTCCAAATATGAACATTTCCACATATAAAATAAATAAAATATCCAAAAACTTTTACCTCTAAATTATCTATTATATTATAAACGTCGCCAACGAAATCATTCCTCAAACATTACAAATACTTAGTGTCAAATATTTAAATTATTTCCATGCACGTTTACTTCAACTAAAATGTATACCAAATTCCTACAAACATAAAATTCACAAAATAACTATCATTTAATTAAAATATAATTAAATTCAAAAACACTACTTAAAATATAAATAAGCACATATATTAAATTAATAAAAATTAGCTTACAATCCTAATTACTTTAAACTAAATCATTGCTAATAACAATTTTCTCAATAATACCAAATTACTTTACTTCCACCTTACATTTAAAACAATGCATAAAAATAATATCCTCAAATAATTAAAAATACTAACTTACCTAATCTTCTTCAGAATCTTGATTACGTGTCCGATAAACTTTTCTTATTCTGTTTCAGGATCTTTAAAATCATACTTATAATTCACAAGGTACCAGGTAAAAAAAAAAATAATAACTTAATAAAACATCTTTACTTCTATCTCGCACAACCTTAAAGAAACACTTATTACTACCCCTTTCAATCCCACTAAATACCCCTTTCGAATTCACTTTAGTTAGGGCCATGGGATCCAAAAATTAACGAACACTTTCACACAACACAGAATATAGCCAAATACAAAATTTCCAGATTTTTTTCTGATTAAAGAACCGTAATTCGTCCATTAATATCACATGACATATCCCATGATCTCTCATTTCTCTCACACAAAATAATGCGTAATCGGAACTGAGTACTGCTCACATTATTACCAGGTAGGTACATTATTACCAAGTCCCAGGTAGTAACATTTATCGCCTCCAAAATGTCGCCAAACTACCAGTTACCATATTCTAAAGATCAGCCCACCAAGGACTTCTGCGATCATAACAAAATTTGGTATGCAAAAGCATCTTGATCGAACATGCAAATGATCAAAGTTTCAAGGCAAATGAACAGGAATTGTGAGCATAGCGTACATTTCTAATGTGCAATTTGCAAAGTATGAAACCAGTAATAGAGGCAGAAAATTTATCTTTTTTTGTTGCTGCCATTGTAATTCTGTAAAGAAGCAACTAATGATGCCATTACGACGATATCAAAGACCTTGCAGACAACCAAAACGAATTTGAACTTGGGCATACTGTAGGTTTGCGTGAAGCTAGGTGGTCATACCAAGCAATAGGTGAGATACTGCTGTGCAAAGATGTTGGCTGCAATGGTTGCTACAAGGAAATTGCCGGCAAAATGAAGGCTCTGGAGAGCCAAGGCAAAGAATGTCTATGTAAAGAAGGAAAGGCTCCATAGACACAATGTGAACTAGTTTGTCTTCTATGCCACTAGAAAGAAGGAAAATTCAAGGGATTTGATAACAGAACCTGTTGGCGAGAATTTTCCTCATTGTGATGTACTGGACCTGGCCGACATTTTCCTCCTCTGCGACGTGTACAGGAAATTAAGGAACACAGGTTAAGATGAATAAGAAAATTGGGTGAGGTTTCACTTTCACTGGCTGTTGAACTTGCATTATCAATATTGCAGTTTGATGTCTGATTTTATATCCATCAATATGGAGGGAAAAAATGGAGTCACACAGCTTTAAACTCTTGATAAATGTGACCATTGAACCTGTTCGAATTTCGACATCAGCTTCGAGCTTTGATGCCTTTTGGCGACAGATGTTTCATGCACGCGCAGCTGTTTCCCTTTTCGTTCGTAGGGAGACACTCCTGCTGCTGCGAAGTTTTCCTTCTTAACGATACATATTCTTTTGCCAGGGATCACAAATGCGAAGCAAGATAGGATGTTTGTTCGCCAGGCCCGAACCGTCTCCCAACGGTATCATTGTCGACTATTCAACGCACTGTACCACGTCTATACCTCCCATGGATCCTCCGTACATCTTTAACAGCTCAACAATATGTTGATACCATCCTGCGAATGGTTGCATTATTCTTCATGGCATGTTATCCTGGGGCCATTTTCCAACAAGATAATGCCAGGCCGCATATCTCTGGACTGTCTCCGTGCGGTTGATACTCTTCCTTGGCCAGCAAGGTCGCCAGACCATTCAACAATCAAGCATTTGTAGACATAGTAGGCCGCCAGATTCTGGCATCACAAAATATTGCAGATCTGGAGCAACAACTGATGAATGCCTAGCAGAATGACATTAGGAACCTCTACCACACTTTGACTCGACAGGCAGTTCGACCAACTACTAATTTGAATGCTTAGTGGGTAATGGTGAGCCGTAAACAGGTACTATGACCTTGATTTTTTAATTATTATATTATCTATGTAGGAGTTATACACATATTCAGTTTCATCAAAAACAACCACTTCCTTCATGATGCTTCGATTTTTTTTTGCAAAAGAATGTAGTATGTCAACTGTTTTGCCTTTTAAAACTGAATTAAATCTGTCAATACCGGACTAAATTATATTATATGTTAAGGAAGTTAGAATTTTTTATTTGTAAATTTTAACCTCTTCCTGCTGATCGTACCTTTCTAGCCCTTTTTTTTTTTTTTTTTTTTTTTTTTTTTAAGTCCATATGGAGATATTTTTTTTGTGAAATCAAATTGTAAAAGTTCATTTGTTTAAGAAAATAAGTTTGGGAATAGTTGTTAAAATTCATATGTTAAAATTACTTTTTATTCATTTTCCAGATCGTAGCTATGGCCTGTATCACTTTAGCATCTAAAATTGAAGAAGCACCACGTAGAATAAGAGATGTTGTCAATGTGTTTCATCACATAAAACAAGTCAGGGGAGGAAAGTAAGTAAATCATGCATTTATAACATTGATGCTTAATTAGAGGGGGGGAAAAGCAGATTTTTTCATGTATGTAGGCCAAAGGTGGAAAGAATCCATTAAATAAATATTGCAATAAAAATCATAACTTTAGGGTATTTGCTGTTAATTAAAGCATTGTTTTGTTTCATAAATGTTTTCATTTTACTAGCCAGAAATTTATGGTTTAAATTTTTTCATAGAAAGTATTGTTCTAATTAAATTCTGTCTTGTGCTGTTATTTTAATATTGTCTGTTGATATGAACCAACTTTTGAATAACTAGTAAAAAGTTGTTATATTATTCAGGTTAGAGCAAAATATTTTTGAGTTGATTAGATTTTGTGCCATAGTTCATATTTTATAAAGTATGGATCTGTTTATCTCATTTTAATAGTGCACAAATTTGATGTTTTTTAGATTATGTAGGGATTAATTATCTCATTACTCTGAAGTCAGTGTACAAGATCTTTTATCTATCTGCAGAATTGTAAAAGTGTGGTACTCATCAATGAAACAAAATTAATTCTTTAAAGATCTTAAACTTTGTAACAACATTTTATAATTACTTATTTCACTACAAGTTGCATAAATAAAATATGTTTCTAACATTCAGTAAGAGTTGCAAAATACCTTTGTGTACATCATCTTCTGCATTGAGAGTAAAATCTGATAATTATAATCAAAGATTGTTGCAACATAAAGTTTGCAAGCTGTCCAAATTGTAGAACATTTTGTATATTTTTGTATTTATACGATTTTATGTTTAAAAAATGCGGACAATTTTAAAATAGAATACGAATTATTTATTCAGAATTTTAAAATGTTTCAACTTACAAAAGTTAATTTTAGCAGTAAAAAGTTTTAGTTTAGTAGGTATTTTGAATTAAGAAGAAAAGTAAAATACTTATATAATTTCTGTATTTTAAAAATTTTTTGTTCAATGTTTGAGGTCTTAAAATAATTTTTTTTTCAAACATTCCAAAACGTTTATCCAAATCATGTTATTGTGTTATTTTTGCCAAGAATATGATTGATTAATGAAATGTTTCTGCAAAATTATTGAAATTCAGATGTTGGTTTGCAAAATATCAAGTAATATGGATTTCATGAAAGCCATGAGTTTTGTACTGGATTTTAAAATTAGGCAGGTTTCAATATATTAGTTTTATTTATGCATCTTGAAAAAGATAAATTTGTTTTATTTTCTCGGAATCCAGTGAGCTCAGTAAAACTGATGTCAGTTTGCCCAGTTTTAATATTTAATGTTGGTGTGCTTCTTATCTGATAAGTGCTTTTTCATTTAAATACAGTTTCATGCCTATATATGTGAATAGAAATTTTCTGAAATAAAGAAATTAAACGACCAGCGAAATGAGATTATTATATATTTAGTTCAATTTTATTAATTTCGTATTGTATTTTTAGAACGATTCAGCCTCTTATACTGGATCAAAATTATATTAATTTGAAAAATCAAGTTATAAAAGCTGAGAGAAGGGTTTTAAAGGAACTTGGTTTCTGCGTTCATGTTAAGCATCCTCATAAGGTAAGCTTGATTTTATAAGTATATATTTTGAGTTTTAAATCATTGTGAAATTCAGTTTACAGTAATTGCTTTTTAAATTCTGATATATTGCATTTTTAATACTACTACTTTATTACTTTCAATTATTGTAAACTGAATTCACAGCTACTTTCACATGTATTATTTTGAAAATATTTTGATAAATGTATGAAAAGTGTGTCGTCGATATATTACTTTCGGCTATCCTTGAGCCCTGTTTTATTATTTATTACCATGATAAATGACAAGTGAATTTCTAATCTTTCCAAAAGAATGCTGTGATAGCTTATAGCCATTTGAAAAGATCTAGTAAGTCTTTTTTAAAATAATCTAGTAATCTGAATTTAGTTACGGAGGTCTGATGCTCAACTATTAAATTAATGCTCACTAAATGAAAAAAAAAAAATATTCAACTTAATGTGGAACATGAATGACTGCTGTTAAACTTGTACAAAAACATCATTAAGCATCTGTAGCAGCTTATGAAGATTATTGTAACATTTTATTTCCCATGAAGATTGACTGGTATGTAATCGCATTTCATTTATTTGTCTAAGGATTAATTTGGGATTTGTGCTAAATGTGTATTGTAAATGACATTTCCATATATTTTCTAGTAAGGCCCTTTGCATTTAAGAAACTTGCTGATTGTGATTGTTATTTATTCTACAGGAACATTGGATGAAGACAACAGACTATTTGAATGTTCTGCTCTCACTCATCAGGAGATCTGATTGTCTTCAGAATCATCCTTCTGATTACACTTCTTAAAATTTTCATGTTTTTTATTTTATCACAGGTCCTGTATGATAAGGATTAAAAGCATATTTTTTACAAGTATGGCTTTGACCTATGACATCTGCTTTTAATTGAAACATTTGTCTAATTTCTGGCAAATGTATCTTCTCAGAGAATTAATATTATTGAGTGGCCTTATTTAATTATAAGTGTTAATATATCATGCTATTATTGCATGCATGTATTAAGTGTTGGGTTTTAAGGAAAAGGAATATTAATTGGTGTATTTGTAAAACATAATTAAAATAGTAAGTTTTTTAGAATTTTAGTGTAGTGATGTTTGGATAAAAGTAAGTATTAACTATGAGTTACAAGAGAATCCTAAGATATTTGTATATATTTATGTAAGCAATAGCTATATGTTATTTCAGTTTTCCAATTATGATGTGAAATATTGAGGTTTTAAAAAATCACATCATTCCATGTATTTGTTTCTTACAAGAGGATTAAACAGCATGCTGAATATGTTGGCCATAGAAGTTTAGTTGGCTATCAAATGATATTTGTTTTCTTATAGTTAAGGTTTACTCTGTGTGTAGTCTGCTACATTAGAATTGGTGTTTCCAGGTAATTTCTCCTGGCTTGCTTTATGTAACCCTGGTAGCAGTGGCTGCAAAAAAAGGGTGGAATTCTTTTTTTGCTAAAATCGCCTGGTCTTCTGTTCGATGATAATCATAAATGAGAGAGGTGTTTATAAACCTGAAATGACTATAATATTGTAACTCAGTGGTCTCAAACTGGTATCCCTGATGCCCATTTCAGTTCTGTATTTTTTGTAAACACAGTTTTGCAAAAATTTCAAGATTTTAGTTATTTGAAGTCTGAGTTTATATCATTTTCATTTTTATTAAAAACAAATAGGAATAATGAACTAGAAAATTTTTGAACACTGCTAATTTTTAATCTGATTAAATCTTATTCCAAGATTTAAAGATATAGATTTGATTCACTTTTATTTATGCTTGTCAAAAAATGAGTACTCAGTTATGAATTTTTGCACTAAGAATATTTTCTTTGTTTAGTAGTACATTTATATGTGCACAGCTTTTTTTTTTTTCCATTTGGGGGGGTTCAGATTTACTGATGAACAACTAGTCTGTAAGGATAATTTTTAATAATTTCTCTTCAAGGCAGCAAACTTTATCAGAATCGAAACGGCTTCAGGTGTGAAGCTATAAGAAATAAATTAGTTTATAATTATTGCATACAAATGTGAATTTTTATGTATGCATCACAGAAAAATTTAATAAATAAGAGAAAGAGGCTAGGTTGTCATTTATTTTTTCTCACTTAATAAATTTTCTCAGAAAACTTAAAAAAATTTGTTTATTTTTAGATTAACTTATTAAATCGTAAATTAAACATGTTAGAATTATTTGAAAGAAGAAAAAATTTTAAAATTTGCTATTTTTTAATTTAAATTAAAGAAACTTCTTAAATCAGTAATTAAATATGTTAGAATTATTTGTAAGAATTTAATATTTAAATGTTACTATATTTGGATTCTCAAGTTACTATATTTGGATTCTCAAGTATAACCAGCAAAAATATCCTGGAAGTACCCAACTTTCAGATAGAAAATGAATGTAAATTTGAATTTTTTCTTACATTTGTGCTATGGTTGACGTTTGTTTTAATAAATATTTAATAAGCAAAATTTTTAAAAATGTGTAAATTTTTTTTTATTTTGTTAATAAAATTTGTCATTTTGTTAAAGAAAAGTTCTGGCCTGTAAGGCTGCTATTACACATCCGTTTGTTTCCAAAGAACAGCCATGTGGAACATTTTTTCTGCTTTGTTACAGCAGCCAATCACAACAGATTACATTCGGGTTAACATTTAAGGGGAAACTGGTTCTCCATTACAAACAAGCTGGTAGCTAATTGGTTGAAAATGGAACAACTTGCAGTTTTTTTCGAAAGGAAGGAAAAAATCGTGCATCTTTCTTTCAATAGTAAACCAGGCAAAAAAATTGTCCGAAACAGTTTTTCATATGAAACAAATGCATGTGTGATTTGGGCCTAAAATGAACAACTTGCAATTTTTTTAAAAAGGTAACAAATGCACATGTGATATGTATCTAAGCTATTTTCGTATTGTATATTCGATATACTTGCAGTTTATATGAGACCACTGATGTAACTGCTTAGTTGTCAAAATAGGGATATTATAGGTGTGAGGGGGTTGCTTTTGAGTTAGATTGTATTAGGGGAAAAAAAAAAACTGGCCTGTATTTTTTTTCACAAGGAAAACCTGCATGAAGCCAGTGTGAACCCTTTCTGTCGGACTCTGGAATAAAACTTGAGTTGACATTACTTGTGTTTGGCATGCTTATCTACTCGGCTGCTGCAAGTCTATTACAGAATAAGATTACATGTTATACATAATTTCCTCCAATGCTGTCTGAATAAGTTTATTGTCAACTTTGAAAGCATACATATTGGAAAATATACACATGCTTTATCATTATGCCACCATATCTAAAAAATATTGTGCATTATTTTAGTATTTAATTTTTTTAAAAGTATCATAATTAGCAGCTTATATGCATAAGTTATCTTAACTCTCTAAAAAGGAGAAAATGTGCTGATATTGAATCATGTCTACTCTGATTTAGAGTAGGCCTAGTGGATATTTAATGTTGACTTATTTTAAGAAAACAGGTTCTTGCAAAGAGCATTTCCAGTAGTACTCTAAGTTAAACTGTTCTGGCGTGAAAATAAAATTAAGAGTATTTCTTTAAAGTATTATATGTAATTGTTATATTTTCTATACTCCAGTTTTAAACATCAGCCCCTTTTTAAATAATAGATAATCAGTAATTAATGCTATTTTTCTTAAGGAAACTGTATAATGTGCAAGACATATTGAATAGGAATCAGTTCCAAATTTTTGCTACTGATAAGTGTGAATATATTCAAAATTTAATAATCTTTAGTTTTGTGTAATGTTAACTATGAATTAGCTTTTTGTCTAAATGCATTTTAAAAATTAACTGATGTTTTTAAAATTGACCACTTCTGCCTTTCCTTAGAAAATACATTATTTATCGATTAATGAGGTGCCAGTCAGTACCAAGTATAAACGACGGTGCAAAATCTAACTTGTTGGCAGAAACTCTAATGTTGCATAAAGCCTTAAGAAAAGATAATTATCTTGTATATGTAATGAATATCATATCATATTCATATACAGTGCAAAGTCTTTAATCTGGACTCGTCGGGACTTTAGCGAGCAGAAATAATAAAATTAAAAATATGAAACCGTAATTTATGAAATAAAGAGCAATTATGATCTAAAGGGTATTATTTACAAAAAAAAAAGCTTAATATTTATTTGTTTACTTTATTAAACATTTCTTTTAATGTAAGTTGTTTAAGTTGCTTTGTTTTATGTGCTAATACTTTCTCTTTAATTCTATAAGACATAATTTCTTGTTCAATTACTAAGTTCCACTGTTCAAGTCCTGTAATTGCTGTGCCGAGAATACCAACTAACTTGTCAGTCGAAATTTTTTCGTTTTCGCTAACCTCTCTGTCACTTTCTTCATGCCTTTATCCATTTTTTGCAGCAATTCCACTTTTTGTTTAATGGACATCGAAACATGCTTTCGCTTTGTAGATCCTTTGGCAGCTCCGAAATCGGAAACTCTTTTTGACATAATCGAAAGTTCAAGCTTACTTTTTATAAAATTGCTGTAACAGTCTGCAAAAAATAAGCTGGATCCAATTAAAAGATTATGCGTAAAGGCTACGCATGCGCAAAAAGTTTGTAGCTTTGAGGTCCGGATTAAAGACTTTGTACTGTATATATACATATATATATATATATTAATTAAGATGACCTTGGAGTAAGCTGCAACAGTTTGATGATGTTTCTCTGCATTATCAGTGTTGTGCAGTTCATGCAAGATGGATTTATATAGAAATGACGCAATCCAGAGAACCTATTGTTATTTTTAGAATAGAGAGGGAGAATTGTGGGGTTAGCATTAATTTAAATTATAATTTTGATTTACATATTCTTACACACACACACACACACACACATATATATATATAGATAGATAGATAGATTGTTGCATTCTACGGGTTCATGGATTTGAAGTAATTGATGACAACACTTCATGAAGAAACGAAATACAATTTATTTACCAGTATTACTCAGGACAGTTTCAAAAACAC